TTTATTCTTGGGCCCCTACTGCAGGTGACTAGGTGGCATGGGTGGAGCCACCAGTCCTCAGGCCCCTGATATGGGTAGGTGAAGACCCTGCTTAATAGGCAGAGTAGTGTCAAATGTCACGAACCTGCCACTTCACAGCTGAAACAGTTTAAGTTAGACTTCAGGTATATACCCTGTTGTACTGTGGTAATAAGGGCCTACGCTGTTGAAATGGGCCCACACAAGTCTCTGCAGGGGGAAAGGCACTCAAAGTCCATGGATCCCTTATGCCCGTGCCTAGGCAAAGGAGCTGTGCCTACCCTGGGTTCCTGGCTTAGTGGAGCCGGCAGTTTATTTTTTCCTCCGTTTGTTAGTTTGTTCGCTCTCCAAGTCAGGAAGAATGGCTCTGGGCATGTGATGGATCCTACTTCCAACCCAGGGGACTCGGCAATTGCTGAAGCCGGTCCAGGACCCAGTGCAGAGCAGAGAGTGGAGAGGTAAATGGGAGAGTAGTTTTCCCTAAGGGGGGTGTTTTTGATCCATGCTTTAAGCCGTACGCAAGTACTTATCTTTCATGGAGGGCTGCTTCTCACTGATACTGGGTGGCCGTGTAGAGTCTCTGGTGCTGGGTCTCTCCTGGTGTGGAAAACGTGCCTTCCAAGCACCGTCGCTTGCCTGCCTCACCGCTCACCCCCGAGCTGATCAGAGCTGAAGGGCTCAGGCTCTCGCTGGTTCAGGTCTGGCAACTCCTCGCTGCTTCCAAGGCATCTCTCCCGCCCCCTGCCACTGAGTCTGGTTCCTCAACTCTGCCTTTGATGTTCAGGGCTCCCAGATTGCCATATATAATTGAATCACTTGGTTTTTTTGGGTCTTTGTTGTAAGATGGTCCACTGGAAGCATCTGACTACTCTGCCATGTTGGCCCCGCCTCTTTTTCTCCTTTCCTGAGTCGTTCCTCCCCCATTAACATAAACTCACTGCTCCCTAAGATTCCTGTCTAATGTTTTGAGTTGCTGTTGTCACTTTTATCCTGCATAGATAATTCTTAAAAAGAACATAATGCTCAAGGCAGACATTTTTTACTAGTTAAGCTAGACTGTTTGGTTTTAAGAAGATTTCAGGGAACATATTTGGTTTAAGGTTTAAAGATTATCTCAGGGCAGTATCTTGGGGGGTTCATGCAGCCTCCATAGCTCCAGAAAGTCTACATTCCATGTGAGTTTGAAATTTTGTTTTGCATTTCCCTCATTTAGGTTGTGATTCTTCTACAGAATTATTTTGATAAACTCTTACAAAGGAAGCCTAGCATAATGCACTATTGGAAAGAATGAAATAACTCTATGCACTCTTTTGTAAAACTGTGTGCCTGCTGTGTGTCAGGCTTTCTTTAAATTTTTTTTTAATGATTTGTATTTTATCTAATAAAAGATGAATTCTGGATGCCTGTGGTATAGCTAACTCTTCAGTATGAAAGATGGACTGTGATGCCAGTTATCAAGAATAGTAGTTAGAAAGTGAGTTAGAAGTAGATTATTTGGTAATATAGTCTGCATTTTTTATGGTGTTACATGGGAAGACATATAATAAATATTTTAGTTAAAACCACAGGCTTTGCAGTCATACTGACTGGGATTTGAATACTGACTCTCCACATGCTGGTGAAGCCAGGACAAGGATGTTAACTTCCTCAAGCTTCATTTTTTTTTTTTTTTTAATCTATAAAATAACGATGAGAACAGATTCTACCTCATGATACTGTTGTGAGGATTAAATAAGATAATGCATATAAACGGATTTAGCACAGTGCTTAGCTCATAGTAAACACTTAAAATTTGTTGTTGTTGTTATTGTTAGATACTGTCAAGTCGATTCCAACTTACAGTGATCCTGTGTACGACAGAACGAAACACTGCCCGATCCTGCACCATCCTTACAGCCATTATGATGCCTGAGCCTGTTGTTGCAGCTACTGTGTCATTCCTCTAGTTGAGCCTTCCTCTTTTTAGCTGACCCTCTACTTTACCAAACATGATGTCCTTCTCCAGGGACTGGTCCCACCTGATAACATGTCCAAAGTACATGAAACAAAATCTCACCATCCTCCCTTCTAAGGAGCATTCTGGCTGTACTTCTTCCAAGACAGATTTGTTCATTCTTTTGGCAGTCCATGATATATTCAGTATTCTTCACCAACACCATAGTTCGCAAATGTGAATTCTTCAGTCTTCCTTATTCATTGTCCAGCTTTTCCATGCATATGAGGTGATGGAAAATACCATGGCTTGGGTCAGGTACACCTTAGTCCTCAAAGCGATATCTTTGCTTTTGAATACTTTGAAGAGATTCTTTTGCAGTAGATTTGCCCAATGCAATACATTGGTTGATTTCTTGACTGCAGTTTCCATGGGTGTTGATTGTGGATCCAAGTGAAATGAAATCCTTGATAATGTCAATCTTTTCTCCATTTATCATTATGTTGCTTATTGGTCCAGTTGTGAGATTTTTGTTTTCCTTATGTTGAGGTACAATCCATACTGAAGGCTGTAGTTGTTGATCTTCATCAGTAAGTGCATCAAGTCCTCTTCACTTTCAGCAAGTAAGGTTGTATCGTCTGCATGGCACAGGTTGTTAATGAGTCTTCCTCCAGTCCTGATGCCACATTCATCTTCATATAGTCCAGCTTCTCAAATTATTTGGTCAGCATACAGATTAAATAAGTATGGTGGAAGGATACAACACTGACACACACCTTTCCTGACTTTAAACCGCGCAGTATGCCCTTGTTCTGTTCAAATGACTGCCTCTTGTTCTATATACAGGTTCCTCATGAGCACAGTTAAGTGTTCTGGAGTTCCCATTCTTTGTAATGTTGCTCATAATTTGTTATGATCCACACAGTCGCATGCCTTTGCACAGTCAGTAAAACACAGGTAAACATCTTTCTGATATTCTCTGCTTTCAGCCAAGATCCATCAGACATCAGCAGTGATATCCCTGGTTCCATGTCTTCTTCTGAATCTGACTTGAACTTCTGGCAGTTCCCTGTCGATGTACTGCTGGAACTGCTTTCGAGTGATCTTCAGCAAAATTTTACTTGCTTGTGATATTAATAATATTATTCAATAATTTTCTCATTCTATTGGATCACCTTTCTTTGGAATGGGCACAAATATGGATCTCTTTCAGTCAGTTGTCCAGGTAACTGCCTTCCAAATTTCTTGACATAGGCGAGTCTCCAGTGCTGCATCCGTTTGTTGAAACATCTCTGTTGGTATTCCATCAATTCCTGGAGCCATGTTTTTTGCCATTTCCTTCAGTGCAGCTTGGACTTCTTCCTTCAGTACTGTCGGTTCCTGATCATGTGCTACCTCCTGAAATGGCTGAATATCGACCAATTCTTTTTGGTACAGTGACTCTGGGTATTCCTTCCATCTTCTTTTGATTTTCCTTCTGTCATTCAATATTTTGCCTATAGAATCCTTCAATATTGTGACTCAAGGCTTGAATTTTTTCAGTTCTTTCAGCTTGAGAAATGCTGAGCGTGTTCTTCCCCTTTGGTTTTCTAACTGCAGGTCTTTGCACATTTCACTATAATACTTTGTCTTCTTGAGCTGCCCTTTGAAATCTTCTGTTCAGCTCTTTTACTTCTTTACTTCTTCCGTTTGCTTTAGCTACTCTACATTCAAGAGCAAGTTTCAGAGTCTCTTCTGACGTGCATTTTGGTCTTTTCTTTGTGTTCTTAATGACCTTTTGCATTCATCATGTATGATGTCCTTGATGTCATTCCACAACTCATCTGGTCTTCGGTCATTAGTGTTCAATGCATCAAATATATTCTTGAGACAGTCTCTAAATTCAGGTGGGATATACTCAAGGTTGTATTTTGGGTCTCATGGACATGCTCTAATTTTCTTCAGCTTCAACTTGAACTTGCATATATGTTAGCTTTTATTAATTCTAATTAAGCAAATATTATATTTTTTGTTTAATGATATCGTTGATCTTTTAACATACCTTATATTAATACTTTTTATGTAAAAGTTTTAACAAGTTAAAATTGAATGTGAATATTTTTTAATTTTAGGAAATTGATTTTATTCATTATGCTCTTTACAAACAAGCTTTGGTTATCTTATATAACTTGACATTTCTGAGCCTCAGTGTGTTGGGGATCCACAAGGCCACCCCCAGGTTTGGTAATTCGCTAGGAGAATAGCATATAGTTATACTCACAGATGTAATTTAATATAGCAGAAGGATATAACGCAAAATCTGCAAAGGAAAAGGCATATGGTGAGAAGTCCAGAGGAAGCCAGGTGCAAGTTTCCAAGAATCCTTTCCCACTGATGGTCACACAGGACAATTTTAATGCCTCTAACAGTGACTTGTGACAATGTGTGAAATATTGTCTACCAGGGACGCTCACTAGAAACTCAACGCCCAGGATTTTTACTGGCAACTGGTCACAGAGGCACCATTTGCCTAGCAAGTACCAGAACTCCAGACTCCCAGAAGGAAAGCAGATGTTCAGCATACACTACACTGTACCAACAGTGTAGGTACAGTGAGCCTCTCTTATCAAGGAATGGTGCCAAAATCTAACTTTGGCAACCAAGGGTCAACCTTGTAAGCAGAAAGGGTAGCAGGCTCAGACCTGCTATGTTTTCTCTTTTCTGTACCATTAGTTTTTCTTATATGATAAAAGAATGTTAGTTCCTGTCCTAGGATTGTTGTGTAGGTTTGAGAGAGTGAATGTTAAGCACCTCGCGTAGTTCCTGACTCTTGGTGGGTGCTCAATAAATAGTTCCTGCTATAGCTATTCAGTAGGAAATAGAGGTACACTGGTTAGAAAAGCCAGAGTTTCCTATAAAGAAGAAATGAAAAAAAATCTACCTGTCACTTCTCAAACAAGGCAAGCAAAGCTAAATTTTCATTTATATTGAAATCATATTTCAAAATCATTTGGAGAGTGAATTTTTTACAGCTGTTTGACCTTGATTCTTTGATTTTGTTAAAATATAGGTGATAAGAGAAATGAAGCCAACTGGTACAGACCCAAGGATATTATCTCTAGCTGCTGAAGTCGCAAAAAGTCCTGAGCAGAATGTCCCTGTTATATTGCTAAAGTTAAAAGGTAGGAAAATATTTTTATGATTAACTAACACTGTTTAAGTAACTAAAGAATTCCTTTATGGGTGCAATTTTAGTATTTGTTCCTAATTTATTCAGAGAAATCTTAAACACTGATATTTCAAGCATTTTTCCTTTATAAGTTTTTAGTTATTATTCAACACATAAAAATACAAATAGCTCTTGTATTTATTGAGCAAAAATAAGTTTATCTTGTTTTATTTTGCCTTAGAAATAATAAACAGCACATCTTTAGGAAGCTCAGAGTTGAAGAAAATCAAACAAGACATATATTGTTATGATCTCATTCAATATTGCCTCTTGGTCCTCAGTCAAGATTATTCTCGAATCCAGGGTGGTTGGTCTACAGTTTCCCAACTTACACAAGTGTTAAGGTAAATTGAAGTAATAAATCAGCTTGTTCTTGAGAGATGTAGTAGTAGATTCTAATTTTCAATATTTGTTCCTTTTTTATTCATCTACCTAACAAGCGCTAACAACCTGCTGTGGTAGGTTTTGGTTGTGCTTTTGCTTCATAATATTTATTATTTTTAACTCTGTATTTATTTATTTGTGTGATTATTTGATTAATATCTAAATTTCCCTCCTTAAGCACCATGCTTACCACTAAATCTCAATGCCTAATATACTATTTATTATTTAATGAATATTTAAATGAATGAATAAATTAAGGCACTCGCCCTACCCTTGAAAAGTTTACAGTATCGGTTGCCATCAAGTTGATTCTGACTCATAGTGACCCTATAGGACAGAGTAGGACTGCCCCATAGAGTTTCCAAGGAGCACCTGGTGGATTTGAACTGCCAACCCTTTGGTTAGCAGCCATAGCACTTAACCACTACGCCACCAGGGCTTCCAAGTTTACAATAGAGATGGCCTAACAGTTATGTCTGGTTTAAAATCAGGAAAGATATGTGTCAGGGTTTTATCCTTTCACCATACTTATTCAATCTATATGCTGAGCAAATAATCTGAGAAGCTGTATTATATGAAGAACATGGCATCAGGATTGGAGGAAGACTTGTTAACAATCTGCGATACGCACATGACACGTCCTTGCTTGCTGACAGTGAGGAGGACTTGAAGCACTTACTGATGAAGATCAAAGATTACAGTGTTCAATATGGATTACCCCTCAACATAAAGAAAACAAAAATCCCCATAAGTGGATCAATAAGCAACATCATGATAAATGGAGAAAAGATTGATGTTGTCAGGGATGTCATTTTAGCTTGGATCCACAATCAACACCTACAGAAGCAGAAGTCAAGAAATCAAACAACGTATTGCATTGGGCAAATCTGCTGCAAAAGACTTTAAAGTGTTCAAAAGCAAAGATGTCACTTTGAGAACTAGGATGCGCCTGACCCAAGCCACAGTATTTTCAATCACTTCATATGTATGCGAAAGCTGGAGAATGAATAAGAAAGACTGAAGAAGAATTGATGCATTTGAATTATGATGTTGGTGAAGAATATTGACTATGCCACGGACTTCCAGAAGAACGAACAAATTTGTCTTGGAAGAAGTACAGCCAAGAATGCTCCTTAGAGGTGAGGATGATGAGACTTCATCACTTCATCTCACATACTTTGGACATGTTATCAGGAGGGACCAGTCCCTGGAGAAGGACATCATGCTTGGTAAAGTAGAAGGGGAGCAAAAAAGAGGAGGACCCTCAATGAAATAGACTGACATGGTGGCTGCAACAGTGGACTCAAATAGGGGACCGAGCAGTGTTTTGTTCCGTTATGCATAGGGTCTCTATGAGTCAGAACCGACTTGATGGCACCTAACAACAACAGTCATGTAAGTGTTCTGATACAGGCAGAATGAAATAGGTGCTAAAATGAAAGGTTTAAGCAAAGTATTATAGGAGAACATATATAAAAGCTATTAATTTCACTTTATGTTGATGTAGCTGTCTCAGCTGTGTATTTCATTGTTACCTAAATACTGTCAATATTTAGAAACAATTAACTGATATAATGCCATGCTAGAAATAGTGCATAAAAAAAGATCAAAATAGTTTTTGGAAAGAGGCAATAAAATAAACGAGATCTTCTCAGTGCCTAAGCTACATGTTATCAGTTAGATAACTGAAAGTATGCATTTACTAATTGCATCCTGGCTTTCTAAATTGCTTACTCCTAATCTGTTACTAGGTAAAGGCCAAATCCAAGGTATACAGTTAGAAAGAACAACAAACATAGGTAACTTTTTTTATACTCCAGTTTTCAAGATTAATTCTTTGCTTAAGTTAATAAAGGCTTATATTTTTGCTTTGCTTAGATGAAAATATTCATCGAGCCAGACTGTCTGAATTGGAATTGAGGACTTAAGAGATTCCCATGTTTGTGAATATACAAACATAATTTCATTTATTAATGGTCTCAATCCAAATAGATACTCTTAAACAATTAACATTAGAAACCAAAGTGCAGAAAAAAGAAAAAAACTTAATACAGGTGGGCATTAACCAGTTAGTTTTTAGCACGCTCAATTTGTAGTTGCTATGAGTCAGAATTGACTCGACAGCACACAACAGCATTGCTTGTCTTGTGTCTGCACGTTTTGTTGAAAAGACCAAAACAGCAGTCCTTCCTCATTAGGATACACACATAGAGCCTATTTTTGGATGTGGGGCTCTTTTTGCTATTAGTCTACACAAATTATTTTTATTATTGAAACTTCCAAGTATATTCAGTTCATATCCAAGGAGTGACCTTGGCTGTGAAAAGCAGTTATTACCTATCTTTTATGCACTGTTTCAAGAGGATCAGTTTCTCTAAATAACTTTTACCTCCTTTAATATTTAATATTTCTACTAAAGTTGGGTTTTTGCTGTTTTCCCTTTAGACATAAGAAATATGCAGGCAGATATTTTGCAGAACTTAGGAAAGTAGATCTACCACAACCAAACCCATTTCCATAGAGTTAATTCCAGCTTATGGGGATTCTAAGTGTTGTTACAGAGTAGAACTACTCCATAGGGTTTTAAATGAATAATTTCTTTTATAAGAATCAGCACGAAGCTAGTTCCTATGAGGTGGTAGTTAAAGTTGTCCCAAATGTCTAACTTTTCCAAGCTGCTGTACCACTCCATCATCTCTAACATCAACTACTCCCTCTCAACTCTGTTCTCTCCCTCCTGTCTTCAGGTTCCCTCATTTGCTGTAACATTTCACAGAACTCACAAACCTTGTAAAGGAAATGGCTCACGCAGTTGTGCAAGTCAGCAAGCCCCAAATTTGTGGGTCAGGCATAGACTTCTCCCTGGCCCTAGGTCTCTGCCCAGAGGTACTCGGCTTTTTTACTCCATGGGCTGGGAAACCCACTGCATCGTCTCTTGCAAGTCTCTCCTTCTCTGCTGGTGGTGGGTTCTCCTCTCCGCTCTGGAGTTGGCTCTCTCCAACTGACCAGTCGCCTCTGTGGGCCACAGTTATCTTCTTTGCACAGCCCCACCCAAACACCTGAGTGGGAGTCACAAGACCATGGCTAGAAAGGCCACACACAAAAGTAATTAATCGTACCACAGGTTTTCTTGGGTATAAGCTTTTCAGAAGCAGATTTCCAGGTCTTTCTTTTGTGGTACTGCTGAGTACATTCAAACTGCCAACCTTAATAGTTGAGTGCAAACCGTTTGTGCCACAGGGACCTTTGCAAATCTATAGAAAAGTAGAAATTGGTATAAAGTTAGAGTGTTTGATTTCCTAAGCTGTCCCTTGCTAATCCTACTCTGGGTACTTTTCAGCTATCAGATGTCTAAAATGCATCAGTTAACATAAATGCTATTCATGAATTAACCTCTCAAGGTTGATTTTAGGTGATTTTATCCCATTCACTGAATACTTGCCTTGTTTCTCTTTGTTGTGAACCAAGTGTCTTTTCTTTCCTGAGGAGTTGAAATACAGGTTTTTAGGATGAGTCCTGAATCTAAATACAGGCACTGTCCACACCACTGTTTTCTTTTTCAGAAAGTTCTTAGACCAGTTTTCCAACAGGAGTTCTTTATTGACTTGGCAACAAAAGAGTGATACTAAAAATTCTCATTAAGGCACAACATCATTAGAAACTTTAGCATTCAACTGAAATTTATAATCATCACAAAGTAAGTCACAGACTTGTGCTCTTGTTTCAGCCATTGCTGTGTGGGCTTGGAGCCAGGAGAAGATGCAGAGGAATTTTACAGTGAATTACTGCCATCAGCTGCAGAAAGTTTTCTGATTTTGGGGAGACGATTACAAACATGTTTCATCAATGCAGCTAAGGTATATATGTTGTTTCTTTAGTGTTTTCTGTTTTGTAGCCAAAACAGTTTAATTCTTGAGATGATGTTCTATGTTATTTTTCAAATGTGCAGTATTTGGGTGAAAGTACAATTAGTGTGATCACTTTACATGGTTTAAGTTACAACCAAGTAAATAATCATCTCTACATTAGAAAATTTTAAAGCGTTAGCTGAAGCAGATGATAGGACTTTTTGAACAGTCTGCCTTACTACTCAGCTTTGTGCAGCACCAAGAAACATTTATTTGCATACCATCTTCCTGAAACCTTTCTACTTAACATTAGAGGATAGCACTGTTCTCTATGTCCAGAACCTTTATTGATAACTCCCAGTGGTGGAAAAGAATAAAGGTGAACTTTCTCCTTTGTCTTTCTAATCCTCTCTAGTCAAAATATTTTCAACCAAAACATAGAGGTTATTTCAATTCAGCAAGTACTTCTTGGGTGAATTGTGCTAATTACCATGTATATTTTTCTTTTGTGATGGATAGGTTATTTAGTAGTGTGTTGCTTAATTTCCAAATATTTGAGGATTTTCTAGATCCTTTGTTATTGATTTCTAATTTAATTCTGTTGTGGTCACATAACATACTCTGTGTGATTTAGTCCTTTGAAATTTTTTCAGCCTTGTTTTATGGTCCGCCATATGTTCTATCTTGGTGAATATTCCGTTAAATACAGTCCTTGCCTTGCACAGTGCTATCATAACTGAAACTTGCGATAGGCACGAGTTTCAGTTACCAAGGTACCATGCAAAGTACAGTTGTGTGTAATGTCCTGTACCTGTCAGTCAGTTCAGTTTGGTTCATAGTGTTGAAGTCTTCTAAAATCTTACTGATTTTTTGCCTACATGTTCTAGTTTTTAATGAGAGAGCATGTAAAAATCTCCAACAATGATTGTGAATTTGTCTAATTCTCCTGTTCTGTCAGTTTTTGCTTCATGTATTTTAAAGTGCTCTTATTAGAGGCATACACATTTAGAATTGTTATATCTTCTTGATGTAATAATTCTTTTATGAAGTGGTCTTTTGTATCTCTGGCAGTACACCTTATCTCAAAGACTGCTTTGTCTGCTATTACTAATATAGCCACTCCAGTTTAGTGTTTGCATGGCGTATCTTTTTCCAGTCTTTTACTTTTTAACCTATCTATGTCTTATATTTAAAATGAGTTTCTATTAAAAGCCGAACCAAACCCGTTGCCATCAAGTCAATTCCAACTCATAGCGGCCCTATAGGGCAGAGTAGAACTGCCCCACAGGATTTCCAAGGAGCAGCTGGTGGACTCAAACTGCTGACCTTTTGGTTAGCAGCTGTAGCTTGCCGTAGCTCTTAACCACTGTGCCACCAGGTAGTATATTACTGGGTCTTGTTTTTCCATCTAATCTGATCATCTCTACTTTTTAATTAGAGTGTTTAATTTATTTTCATTTAATGTAGTTCTTGACATAATTGCATTTAATTCTGTCATTTTGCTATTTGTTTTTTAAATTTGTCTCCTGTATTCTTTATCCTTTTTCCTTTTTAAGTTTGGATTAATCAAGTATTTTTTAGTATTCACTTCTGTCTTCTCTTTTGGCTTTTTAGCCATACCTTTTCGTATGACTTTGCTCTAGGGATATAATATTCATTCTTAGCATATCACATCTACCTTGATTAATATTATACCATTACAGAATAATGTGAGAATTTTATCATTCCATTTATACCACCTTCCATCTTTTGTGTTATTTTGTTATAAATTTTACTTTTACATGTATTATAAAACCCACCACACGTTGTTATTTTTGCTTTAAATAGTCTATGGACTTTTGAAGAATTTAAAGATGTGCACAGAAAAAATTATCTTTTATACTTACCGTGTCTAGTTTTGAATTTTCATCTGCTGTTATTTTCCTTTAACCTGAAGAACCTCTTTTAGCATTTCTTATAGTGCAGTTCTGCTGATGATGACTTCTCTCAGCTTTTAAGTTACTTGAAAATATCTTTTGTTTTTGCTGGATGTATGTAATTTTAGGTTGTCAAGGTTTTTCTTTAGTTTCTCTTTCTGCACTTAAAAAATTTTGTTCCATTGCCTTCTGGCATCCATTGTTTCTGAAGTAAATTCAGCCTTCTTTCTTATTGTTATTCCCGCTATATAATGCATGTTTTTATCTGGCTGCTTTTAAGACTTTTCCTTTTTCTTTGGTTTTCACTAATTTGACTTTGATGAACATTGATGTGGTTTTCTTTATATTTATTCTGCTTGAGGTTTGCTGAGTTTCGTGTATATCTGTAAGTAATATATTTATTCACATTTAAGAAAATTTTGAGCCAATACTTTACTGCCTCTTTCTCTTTCCTCTCCTTCTGAGACTAGGTTGTTGAGGCTCTGTTCATCTTTTTTGTTGTTCACTTTAACTTGAATGATTTCTAGTTGTCTGTCTTCCAAGTTCACCGATTCTTTCTGTAGTGTTTTGTTGTAGTTGTTAGTTGCTGTCAATGTGATTCTGATTCATGATGACCCCATGTGTGCAGAGTAGAACTGTAGTGTTTAATCTGATGATAATCCCATCTAGTGAATTTTCTGCTTCAGAGATCATATTGTTCAGCTCTGATTTCTATTTGGTTGTCTTAGAGTTTTCATACCTCTGCTCAAATTCCCCATTTTTTCACCTATTATATCCATCTTTTCCTGTGGATTCTTTTTTTTGAAAATATATACAACATAAAATTGCTATTTTAATTATTTTTAAGTGTACAATTCAGTGGCATTAATTATATTACAGTGTTGTGCAACCATCATCACTATTTGTTTCCAAAACTTTTCAGTAACCTCAAACAGAAACTCTGTACCCATTAAGCTTTAACTCTACCCCCCTCTTCCTGGAGCACATGGTAACCACTAGTCTACTTTCTGTCTCTATGCATTTGCCTATTCTAGATATTTCAGATAAGTGGGGATCATATTTCTCCTTTTGTGTCTGGATTATTTCACTTATCATAATGTTTGCAAGGTTCATCTATGTTGTGTAGCATGTATTAGAACTCCATTCCTTTTTATATATTGTATATATATTTATACCACATTTTGTTTATCCATTCATCTGTTGATGAATTTTAGGTTTTTTTATTTTTGGCTTTTTTGGCTATTGTGAAAAATGCTGCTATGAACATTGGTGTACAAGTATCTGTTTTAGTCACTGCTTTCAAGTCTTTTGGGTATATATCCAGGAAGGCATTTGCTGGATCATATACTAATTCTATATTTAACTTTTTGAGGAACCACCAAAGTATTTCCCACAGCAGCTGCAGCATTTTACATTCCCACCAGCAATAGAAAGTGTCATTAGGAGTTTTAAAAACTCTCCAGGTGCTTCTAATATGCATCCAAGCTTTCTTAAGAGTCACTGGTAGACCAGACTACTGGGTGTGGGTGTGGGGTGAATGGATATTGGGTTGTGAACCATGATGGCTGAGTATTGTTGTATTTTCAATGCAAGTTAAAAAAAGATGCATGTGTATATATAAATGCCCACATAATATTTGAGTTAGGTTGGAGGAATCCATATTTATAAGGAGACCAAATGTATTTGGCCCATATTAGGACAAATTAGGTGCATCCAAAGCCAACCAAAACCATTTAATGAGAATGGTTATGATAATGCATGCATAGTTACTTTTTTTTTTTTAATTTTTTTTATTGTACTTTAGATGAAAGTTTACAGAATAGTTTCTCATTAAACAATACACATATTGTTTTATAACAGTGGTTAACAACCCCACAACATGTCAATAGTGTCCCTTCTCAACCCTGGGTTCCCTATTACCAGCTTTCCTGTCCTCTCCTGCCTTCTAGTTCTTGTCCCTGGACTGTTGTGCCCCATTAGTCTTATTTTGTTTTATGGGGGTGTCTAATGTTTGGCTGGATGGTGAACCTTGGGAGTGATTTCATTACTGAGCTAAAAGAGTGTCCAGGGGCCGTGCTCTCAGGGTTTCTCCAGTCTCTGCCAGGCCAGTAAGTCTGGTCTTTTTTTTGTGAGTTAGAATTTTGTTCTCCATTTTTCCCCAGCTCTGTCCAGGACCCTCTGTTGTGATCCTGGTCAGAGCAGTCAGTGGTGGTAGCTGGGCACTGTCTAGTTGTACCGAACTCAGTCTGGTGGAAGCCATGGTAGTTGTGGTCCATTAGTCCTTTGGACTTATCTTTCCCTTGTATCTTGTTTTTTTCATTCTCCCTTGCTCCCTTGCCCCCGAAGGGGTATCTTAGATGGCTGCTTACAGGCTTTTAAGACCCCAGACACTACTCACCAATGTAGAATGTAGGACATTTTCTTTATAAAGTGTGTTATGCCAATTGAGCTAGATATTCCCCAAGACCATGGTCCCCACAGCTCTCGGCCTAGCAATTTAGTCCCTCAGGGACTTTGGATGTGTCTGGGGAGCTTCCGTAACCTTTTCTTATACAAGTGTGCTGACTTCCCCAGTATTGTGTACTGTCTTACCTTTCACCAAAGTTACCACTTATCTGTTTTCTATTTAGTATCCCCCCCGACCCCTCCCATCCCTCGTAACCAACAAAGATTGTTTCTCTGTGTGTAAACTTTTTCATGGGTTTTTACAGTAGAGGTCTCACAATGTTTGTCCTTTTGTGATTGACTTATTTCACTCAGCATAATGTCCTCCAGTTTGATCCATGTTATGAGATGCTTCACAGATTCATCATTGTTCTTTATTGTTGCATAATACTCCATTTTGTGTATGTACTGTCATTCGTTTATCCATTCATCTGTTGATGGGCATGTACGTTGTTTCCATCTTTTTGCTGTTGTGAACAGTGCTGCAATGAACATAGGTGTGCATATGTCTGTTTGTGTGACGGCTCTTATTTCTATGGGATATGTTCCTAGGAGTGGGATTACTGAATTGTATGGTATTTCTATTTCTAGCTTTCTAAGCAAGCACCATATCATTTTCCAAAATGGTTGTATTATTTTGCATTCCCACCAGCAGTGCATAAGAGTTCCGATCTCCCTGCAGCCTCTCCAACATTTGTTATTTCCAGTGTTTTGGATTCGTGCCAGTAATGCCGGGGCTGAGATGGTATCTCATTGTGGTTTTAATTTGCATTTCTCTAATGGCTAGTGTTCGTGAGCATTTCCTCCTATGTCTGTTGGCCGCTTGCATGTCTTCTTTGGTGAAGTGTCTATTTATTTCCTTTGCCCAATTTTTAATTGGGTTATTTGTCTTTTTGTTGTAGACGTGTTGGATTTTCTTGTAGATCATAGAGATTAGACCTTTGTCTGACTTGTAATGTCCAAAATTTTTTTCCCAGTCTGTAGATTCTGTTTTTACTCTTTTGGTGAAGTCTTTTGATGAGCATAAGTGTTTGATTTTTAGAAGATCCTAGTTATCTAGCTTATCTTCTGGAGTTTGTTGTTGGTTATCCTGTTAATGTTGTGTATTAGGGCCTCTAGCATTGATTCTATTTTTTCTTTTATGAGCTTTATAGTTTTTGGCTTTATATTTAGGTCTTCGATCTATTTTGAATTAGTTTTTGTATATGGTGTGAGGTATGGGTCCTGTTTCATTTTTTTGCAGATGGACAACCAGTTTTGCCAGCACCATTTATTAGAAAAACTGTCTTTCCCCATCTGATGGACTTTAGGCCCTTGTCGAAGATCGGGTGACCGTAGGTAGATGGATTTACATCTGGGTTCTCAATTCTGTTCCATTGGTCAATATATCTGTTGTTGTACCAGTACCAGGCTGTTTTGATTACCGTAGCTGTATAGTAGGTTCTGAGGTCAGGTAGTGTGAGTCCTCCTACTTTATTCGTCTTCTTCAAGAGTGCTTTACTTATCCGGGGCTTCTTCCCTTCCTATATAAAGTTAATGATTAGTTTTTCTGTCTTTTTAAAGAAGGTTGTTGGTATTTGGGTTGAGATTGCATTGTATTTGTAAATTGCTTTGGGTAGAATTGTCATTTTCGTAATGTTGTGTCTACCTATCCGTTAGCATGGTATGTTTTCCCATTTATGTAGATCCCTTTGGCTTTCTGGCAGTAGTGTTTTGTAGTTTTCTTTATATAGATCTTTTATCCTATAGATTCTTTAACATAGTGATTGTAGTTACTTTTAAGTTCTTGACTACAGTTCTAATAACTGGATCATCAGAGAGTCTGTTTCTGTTAACTTTTTTTTTTTCTCAACTATGAGTCATATTTTTCTGTTTCTTCACATATCTTTTTTTTTTACTTTATTCTGGATACCATGAATGATACATTAAAAACACTCATCTTCTCTGAAGTCTGTTGAGAGCAGTTAAATACTGACAGATCAGTTGATCCCGTGGACGCTTGGTCTTAGTCTTTATCGGGACAGGTTTATTTCAGTTCTCCTGTTAATTTTAGAGCATTGCCCTTATCCCTGATTCATAGTTCTTATTCCTAAAGTATGCTCTTCTGTGGTTTCAGTGAATAGTCTAAGATGTTAACCCAGTCCTTCTAATTGGAATGTTCTCTTAAAGGCCTAGTTGTAAAATTCTTGCCTTCTTTTGGGGATTTGGATTCTGAATACCAAGCTTCCCAGCCAGATTTTTTTTTTTAATTGGATAGTGTATAGATGTGTCCCTGATGGCGCAGTGGTTAAGTGTTTGGCTGCAAACCAAAAGGTCACCAGTTGCTCCTTGGAAATCCTATAAGGCAGTTCTTCTTTGTCCAGTGGGATCATTATGAGTCAGAATCGACTCAATGGCAGCAGGTTTGGTTTTTTTTGGTCTAGCATATAGATAGTAAATCCCATGGTATGGTGCACATAGGATATTCTGGTCTAAACTGAAAACTGGTATAAAAGAAAATTATTAGAATAGAAAAACACCTATGCTAGAAATTTGAAGTGATTTAACAGCAAATTTATTGAACTGTTAACCAAATGTGAGGAGCCACAAATTTATCAATGATGTTATCTAATTGTTTTCTTTTTAATGAAATTAGGAAGTCTAGGAGTACAGCACTATCCTTGGGGATTGACAGTACTGAGGATTACCATGCCCTTTCTGCTGTTTGTTTTGGTGAAACTGGCAAAGACAGTTTCTGGACTAAAGGAATGGTTAATCTGTGATATTTCATATGCTTTTTTAGGTTTTTTATTTATTTAAGTCAACACATGTCTATCTATTAAATACCTATCTAACTTAGAATAATAGGGATAAAATACTTTCATTATTATGAAAATTAATCTTGGCAATCATAATATTTTTGCTGTTATCATTACTTTTGTGCTGCAATACAAACTTTCAGGACATCATACATGAAGAAAGCAAAAGGCCATTAAAAAGTCAGGAAAGAAAGAAAAGACCAAAATGGATATCAGAAGAGACTCTGAAGTAAACCCATCCATAAGGTCTTATACCTCTTAAATAACTAGGTCCTCTGACTCCCCAGAGAGAAGTCATTTTTTTATAAAGCAAATTGCAGCAAAATAAATTAGATTTGTCTTTTGTGTTAAGGGAGAAGAAAAAGATGAATTACTACACTTTTTCCAAATTGTGACTGATTCTCTCTTCTGGCTAGTGGGAGACCATGTTCAACTCATTCAGAATGGTAAGAAAAAAGATTTTAATACAATTGATTGTAGAGTCAACTGCTAACAGTCTGATCTATTTTTCTAAAAAAAAATGCCTCATTAACTATACAGATAACCACATTTAAATGAAATCATCCCACCATATAAATATGTAAGCCCATTTGGACATTCTAGTTTAAACAGCCAATTTGAGAGTATGAATATATCATATTAAGGGAGAAATTGCTAAAATAAAACTCTTTCCTTTGCTTTTTCTATTTATCAAAGCCGTAAGACTTAATGATAATTAGAACAATTTAGCCCAGGGAAAAAAAATTATAAAAGTTTGAAATATTATAGCTGTGTTTTAGACTTGAGAGAAATCCCTAAGTTCAGAGTGGATGATATAATGCATAGTTTTAACTTTCCAAGTAATAGTAAGTTTTTACATAATGACATTTTAATGGACTTGAAAGTTATTTTATAGGTTATTTCTATTTACGTTGAGAAATATAAGTAAATGTTAATTTTATATTATGATTCTTTAAGACTAAAAAAATAATCCTTAATGATTATCATGGCAACTTTCCTACCATCTTAAAAATTTTAATTTACTGTAAATGCAAGCATGTAAGAACATTGTTTGATTTTCTTAGAAAGTTATGTTTGAACTGATTTATTTTTTCTCTCATAATTATGCATTTATGTAATCTAAAGAGTCAAATAGTTCTATAAGGATTGTTAAAAAAAACAAACAGCAGCACAGTCTCTGACCTTCACACCCCACTCTGTTTCCCATTTTCCAAAGGCAACTACCTTTAATTAGTGTACCTAATACTTTTGGTAGTTATATAGCTAAGTAGCATGCTTAGATACTTTCCCCACCCCAGCATCATCTATCAATTTCCCATTATGGAGCATGAAGATTGAGCTCTCTCCATGCCCGCAAATGCACATAATTTTCCATTCTTCATCCTTCTAATATAGTTACAACATAATTTTTATTAGATATTCACATTGCTAGGCTACATGAATGCTATTCACACTGTGCCCTATAGCATACTTTTTCTAACTTTTTTTTATTAAACGTGGAGTTAATAACTATCTTTTAGAAATTGCTGAAATTTCTATGTAGTTCAACTAATTTCACTAATTAATTCAGCTCCACATTATTCTCCAGTCATGTAAGTTTCCTCCTGTTTCTTTCAAATACAATACTTATTCTATGGATTTCATCTTAAAGAAATTTCTTTTGGAGTCTTCTGACCTGCACCACCCTAGATGGATTGTTTTTTTGGCCTGGTACACAGCTGTCAAGTCATCCTAGTATCTTTCTTTACTAGCATCTTGGGAAGTGCCTTTAGCTCTCCTTTAATGTTATATCTCATACTAGGTTACCTAGATTCCTCTTTCTTGGTTTATTCTATTGGTTTTTGTTTTGCTTTTTTTTTTCTGAGACCTGGTAGGACAGTGGTTAAGAACTCAGCTGCTAACCAAAAGGCCAGCAGTTCAAATCCACCGCCTGCTCATTGGAAACTGTATGGGGCAGTTCTACTCTGTCTTACAGGGTCGCTATGAGTTGCAGTGGATTCAGTGGCAACGGGTTTGGTTTTTTTTGGTTTTTTTGTATCCTTTAGTAGTTTCTGGGGGGTACATGAGAAGTAATTTTTGAGAATTTGCATATCTGAAATGTCTCCAGTCTATTTCACATTTGAGTTGAGTTTAACTAGGTATAGAAGTTTCAGATGGAGACCAATTTCCCTCAGAATTTTGAAGGCATTGTTCTATTGTCTTCTAGCCTGCAGTGTGACTAGTTAAGAATAATCTTTCTTATTCCTAATCTTTTATATGTGACAAGTTATCTTTCTGGAAGTTTCTGGGATCTCTTTGTCCCTAGTGAAATCTTATGGTTATGTCCCTAAGTGTGGGACTAATCTGATCTGGTGTTTCATCCAGTATTTTAAACACTCATTGGAGTCTTTCAATCTGGAATCTTACATCTTTCATTTCTGAAAAGTTTCTTTGATGATTTCTTCACCTTCATTTGCTTTCTAGTACTGCCTTTTTGGAGCTACTCATCAATTGGTCCTGTAATTTAAAAACTGTTTTCTCTCCTATTTTTATCATCTGGTCTTTTGGATCTGCTTTCTGAAAGACTTCCTCAGTTTTATCTTCCAGCCCTCCTATAGAACTTTTCATTTCTACTGTTTCATTTTTAATTTCCAAGAGCTCTCTTTTTTTCTCTGATAGGTCCTTTTTTCATAGCACTCAGTTCTTGTTTCACTGACCCTGTATCTTGTCTTACCTCTCTGAGAATAAGATGGATGGTCTTTTGTTTATTTCTGCCTGGTTGGTCTGTTTCATACAAATTGCTTTTTCCTTTTATTTTGTTTTGCATATTAGATGCTTTCCTCAAACATTTCGTGAGCCATGGCTATCTGCTCATAATTAAGAATGTTAAAAGTGTTTGGAAAATCTCTGTGCCTTTGACAAGCTTGGTACCTAATGTGTTTCACTGTGAGGAAGTTTGAACCTATGAAGAAGATTCAGGAGCCATTATCTACTAGTCAGAGGTGGGAAATTGGAGCAGTAATAAGGATAACTGCACTAGATTGAACCACATCAAATATGTTGAAACCCATGAGTTATAGTGATACTGAAAAGAAAAAAAAAAAAAACAAAAAGCAAATAATCATTGGAGTCAACTAGGGAACCAGTACATTATTGTGAAAAATGGTAAGTGAAGGGAAAGAATCTAGCGTTTATCCCACCTTTTCTTACATATGTTGTTGTGTGCCATCCAGTTGATTCTAACTCATAGCGACCCTATAGGACTGAGCAGAACTGCCCCACAGAGTTTTCAAGACTGTAATCTTTACGGAAGCAGACTGCCACACCTTTATCCCATGGAGTGACTGGTTAGTTCAAACTGCCAACCTTTTGGTTAGCAGCCGAGTGCTTAGCCACTGTGCCACTAGGGGTCCTTAGATATAACTATAGATGAGGGGAAATTTCTCTTTATAAAAGTATTCCAACTACTAGTAAGTGAAAAAGATGTGAAAGAATAGTGCTGTTTTGTAACTCTTATGTAATGAACAGATTTAGAAATTGATTATCGGAGGCTGTCAGCATCTCAGAAAGAGAGATGACCAGACATTAAATGCCTCCTACTGGGTCATTGTAATATCACATAGGAAGTGCTTGTGCCAAAAATTCAAATCTGAATCATTTCAGTCCTCTAGCTCCAACTACCAGTTTATAGGAGGTCAGAGAAACATGCAGTCATACCCCAAGGATGCAGTTACAAAACTAGACTATGAGAAGCTCATAGCACAAATGATGGTTTCTTCAGAAAATAAATTGCGAGGGAAAAAAAAAAGATGGAGGGAGAATCAAAAGAGATTTGAAAGACACATGAGCCACACAATGACAATGTGTGGATTTTATTTGGATTATGATTCAAACATACTTTTAAAAATTCACAAGACAGTTGGAAATTGGAACACTGAGTGGATATTTGATGAAATTAAGGAAGGATTATTAATGATTTGGATGTGATAACAGTTTTATTTTTTAACAATTCATATATTTTAGAAATATGTACCGAAATGTTGTGTATAAAACGATTTGAAATCTTGGATTTGCCTTAGAATAAAATGGAAGACAGAAAGATGAAACAAGGTTGGCCATGAGTTGATTATTGTTAAGGTTGAACGAACCGTACAAAGGGGTTTATTATACTGTTCTACTTTTATGTATGTTTGAAACTTTCATTATAAAAACGTTCAAATAAATAGTCTCAGTATCAGTTTTTTGCTTGGTGGAATGGTGGCAGTAAGATAGATCTTGCCCTACCAAATAGTTATCTGACTACACTTGATAAACAGAATAGGGACTCCAAAAATAGGTTATGTAATAATGTACTGTAAGATAAACAGTATAAAAAATAAAATGGAGTGACTGTTTAATAAATATTTTAGCATTACTTTTTCCATTATAGAAAAAAAGATAAACTTAACATGCATACTACGTAACGTGATTTCAATGAATTCAAAATTAGTTATTAATAAAACATTTAGGTAGACAAAAATGGAATCGTATACTTATTCCAGCTACAGAGAAGAATTTTTTACTACTGAAGTAATAAAAAATAGAGATCACAGCAATATTTAATAGTAGTAAGATTGTTTTTCTGTGTTGTTGAACATTAAAAAAAAATTGGTGTCTAGTGAAATATTGGACTATATAAATAGAAATACAGAACAGGAGTTAGTATGGGAGATGAATCATATCTGATCCCTAAAGAGAGACAAAGGGGAAAGAGTAAAAGTGTTTCACAGAAGCTAGGGTAGTATCCACAGAGCCGGCCTGCTGGCATACCCCATCCTACTTTAAAATTCTGCTCATTTTGTGGAGAAGGAATGGAAGCTTAACATTTATTGGGAGACTGCTCTGTTCCATACATCGTACAGTAGCCTGTGAAAGTCATAATTTCTAGTTTTAAAAATGAAGAAATGGAAGTTTCAAGAAGTTAAGTAATTTGCCTAGCCATCCAATGCCAAGTCATCATAACTGGCTTCTCAGAATCTAAAAATTATAAACCAATAAAAACAAGTATTGTTTAGTAGCTAATACTTTCATTATTATTTTAAGACAAGATACTAGCAGACCTGGTATGTCATGTAACAAAAACTAAAGTTTTTAAGGACATGATCCTTCGTCTAAAGTACAATAAAAAAAAAAACCATGAACCACTGATTACAGTCATCTGTGCCATTTCCATTCCTTCATATTCTCTCTTTAGAGGAAATTTGTTTTCTTTCACTGAAATCCACTGTTAGAACAGGGATTCAGATTTAGGATATTTTGTTTTCAATTTAAAAACAGATTCTTAGCTTGATATTTGTGAATGCTATCTATAACTTCATAAAAATGGAATGACTATTATTCCTGGTTATTGAAACTACCCATATCTTAAAATATTCTTTATTGTGGGTATACAGAGGCAGGAAGTTCAGCAGAAATGGTCATGCTTTCATTTGGCTTTAAAAGGTTGAGAAAACCCCACTTGTACCATCATAGTATCTTTACTTTGATCTTTCTTTTTTATTTCTCTTCCTTTAGTACTTCAAAGTGATCATTTCTTGCACTTACTGCAAACTGACGATGTTCAGATAGGATCTACAGTCATGACTATGCTACAGAACATACTACATATCAACAGGTGACTTGGTTTCATAAAATGTTACTGATTATTTTTGATCAGAAGCATTACCAGTTTTAAGCCAATTTTGCTGAAATCATTGATTATACATGACTTGCACATGGCACTTTAAAAGCTCGGTTACCATTGTCTTTCAGAAAATAATGAATATAAAAAATGTAAATGTCTGGAAATTTATTTTAGAATTGGTATCCTAGCTCAGAGTTTAAGAAGCTCTTAGATCAAATCTCAGGCTTAGAGAAGAGAATTACTGTGATATCTGAAGAAAAATATTGGGATCACAATAAAAAATGCTCAATCATAGATTTATTTAGCAAATAGGGTGATTAAGAGCTTGGCTGCTAACCAAAAGGTGGGCAGTTTGAATCCACCAACTGCTCCTTGGAAGCCCTATGGGATCAGTTCTACTCTGTTCCTATAGGGTTGCTGTGAGTCGGAAACAATTTGACAGCAGTGAGTTTGGTTTTTTGGTTTATTGTGTGCTCAGTATTGTGCCAGGTGCTGTAGAAGGACATAAAAGAAGTAATGGACAATTTTCTCAGGTTAAATTGGAAAGGCAGAATATATATAGCTGAGATTATTGATTCATTCAGTTCAATATGGACTTAATAAGCAACTGCTATGTGCCGAGTAAAGAGCCCTGGTAGTGCAGTGGTTAAAGCACTCGGCTGCTAACCGAAAGGTTGACAGTTTGAACCCACCAGTTGCTCCACAGGAGAAGGGTGTGGCAGTCTACTTCCCTAAAGATTTATAGTGTTGAAAACTCTATGGGGCGGCTCTACTCTGTCCAACAGAGTCGCTTTGAGTCAGAATAGACTCAACGGCACTGGGTTTGGTTTGGGTTTGGTATGTGCCAAGTACTGTGTCTTTCATTGGATTTACCAAATTAAGATATAATCTTTGTCTTCAAAGAATTTATAGTATATTGGAAGAGGCAGATACATAAACATAATTACATTTTAGTGTGTTAAGTTACAGTGTTAAAGGTGTGCATAAGTGATAAAGAGCTTCTTATCCAACTGAGGGAGAATGCTTCCTAGAGAAGCTAACCCTTGAGATAAAACCTTAAGGAAGAAGAGAAATTAGCCAGGCAGGAAGAGGAGAAAACAGTATTTCCGAGCAGTGGTAACAACATAAACAAAAACACAGAGATAAGAAACAACATGCTGAGTATGAAAATTAGATGTAATTCATTGTTGCTGGAATTTAAAGTTTGGTATGGGAAGGTGGCTAGCAAGTTCTGCAGAGACTAGGTTATAAAGAACTTACATACTTTGTTAAGAAAACTAAGTCTTACCCTATACACAATGGGACCATTAAAAGATTTTTAAAGTGGGTAAAAATGGTCAGATTACATTTGTTATGTCACTCTGGTGGCTATGTTGAGGAAAGATTGTAAACGGGATAAAACTGTAGTTGAAGCAATTAGAAGAAGCACTGTAGTAATCCAAATGAAGTAATGAAATCCTGGCCTTGGGCACTGGTACCAGAGGAATAGATTTTTAAAATAATGACTTGAAATCATCGGGACTTCACTTCACTTCCACTTCTGATCAAGATGGAATAACAGGAATAGATTTATCCACCTGCAGAAAACAACACCAGTCACAACACATGAAACAACAGTTTTCAAGCAACTGGACATCAGTGAAAGAGATTCCCTGAGAAAAAAGAATGAACAGGTGAACCTTACAACTGCACTAATTTAGAGCATTGAGTTTCCAGCCTTTGGCACAGGGAAGAGTATCCCAGGCAGGTTGAGTTGAAGAGATAGAGCTGAAAGTCTAGCAAACAAGATGGCCTGCGTTCACATGACAAGAGTACCAGAGAAGAGAGAGCTACACACAGAGAAAACCCCAGAGATATGCAGAGGGTTTCCTTCAAGTATTCGGCAGAGTATGAATCAGCACATACATATGAGGGAACTACCCAATGTCAGGGAAAAGAATAATCCAGAAGGATTAAAAGGAACAGGGCCAGGAATAATGTCTGTGCCCAACTGTCAAACCAGAAAACCTCATGAATAATGAGGCATTAGATACTCAATAATGTTTCAGTTTAATAGTGGAGACTAGTTAGCACTAGATTGAGTACCATTCCAGAATACCCAAACAAATCATAAAAGCAAGACCTAAGAGGATCAAACTTTTTCCAAGTAACTTATCTTCATTTGATTGTTGAAACTGCCTACATCTTAAAATCTTCTTTATTGTAGGGTATACAAAGATAAGATGTTTAACAGGAATGGTCATGCCTTGATTTGGCTTTAAAGGGATGAGAAAATCTCACTTATGCCACCATAGAATCTTTGCTTTGACCCATCTTTTTTTTTTTTTTTTTTTTAATCTCTCTTCCTTTAATACAATAGAATGAACATTTCTTGTACTTACTGTAAACTGATGATGTTCAAATAGGATCTACAGTCATGACTGTGCTACAGAACATACATACCAACTGGTGACTTGGTTTTACAAAATGTTACTGATATATTTTAACAGAAGCATTACCAAGTTTTTACTAATTTTGCTGAAATTATTGATTATATATGACTTGTACATGGCACTTAAAAAGCACTGACCAGAACAAAGCTCAAGAATATTTTAGGAATAGAAAAATATCCAGCACTCAACAAGGTAAAATTCAAACTCTTGCATTCAATCGAAGATTACTAGGCATACAAAGAAGCAGGAAGACAGGACCATGTGAGGAGACTAAACTGATCAAAATTGACGCAGATGTTACAATTAACAGTGATACTAAATAATTATTATGACTGTATTCCATATGTTCAAAAAGTTGAATAGAGACATGGATGATATGGGGAAAAAATCATTGAATTAGAGATGAAAACTACAATGTCTGAGTTGAAAAACTGGATGGGATTAGCAGCAGGTTAACACTGCAGATTAGTGAATTTGAAGACATAGCAATAGAAGCTATACAAAGTGAAATAAAAAAAGAATAAAAATAAATGAAGAAGAAGAAGAAGAAAGAAAAGTATATCAGGGAGCTTTGGGACAACTTCAAGCAGCCTTATATACATGTAATTGGAGTACCCAATGGCAGAAAAACGTTTGAAGAAATAATGACTGAAAATTTTCGAAACTTTGTGGAAACTATAAACTCACAGATTCCAGAAGTGTTACAGGCCCCATTGACAATAAATATAAAGAAAACTATAAGAAGGCACACCATAATCAAAGTGCTCAAAATCACTGATAAAGGGAAAATCTTAAAACTGCCACAGGGGGAAAAACCACATTATATACAGAGAAATAAAGATAAGGGTTGTAGAAATATTGTAAGCAAGAAGACAATTGAGCAATATCTTTTAGGTAGAAAAAAAAATGAAAGTAGAGTTTTATACCCAGTGAATATGTTTCAAAAACAAAGATGAAATAAAGACTTTCCCAGAAATCACAAGCAGATGCTCACTACAAGAATTTTTTTAAAAAGTTCATCACCATCACACCCACACTACAGAAATGTTTAAGGAAGTCTTTCAGCCTGAAAAAAAAAAAATCACACAAAGGCATGAAAAGTATAAAAAATGGTAATTACATAGTTAATATATAGAATTATTTTCTTATTATTTAAATCTCTTTAAGAGTTGACTGTTTATGCAAACAGAATAATGTATTTAGAGATTTATAACGTATAAGTAAAATGTATTACAATGGTAACGTAAAGGCTAGGAATTGAGAAATGGAAGTATGCTTTTATAAGTTTTTTAAATTGTATATGAAGTGATACAGTATCACTTGAAGGTAGACTCTGATAGGGTGAAGATGTATACTGTAAACTAGAGCAACCAGTAAAATAACTAAAGAGTTATAAGTAATAAGCCAACAAAAGTGATAAAACTGAATCAAAAAAAATACTAATCCAAAAGAAACCAAAACCAAACCAGTTGATAATGAGTTGATTCCGACTCATCCAAAAGAAGGCAGTGAAAAAAAGGAAAAAGTGAATAAAGGACAAATAAGATATGTAGAAACCAAATGATGGATTTAAACCTATCTATACTAAATATAAATGGCTGAAAACACCCAGTTAAAAGGCAGAGATTAACTGATTAAAAAAGTGGGAACCAGCTACATTCTGCTGCTGACAAGAAATGCATCTTAACTATAAAGACACAAAAATTAAAAGGATGAAAAAAGCAATACCATGATAACACTAGTAAAAAGAAAACTGGGCCTATGTTAATATCAGACAAAGTAGGATTCAGAGCAAAGAACATTGCCGGTGATAAAGAAGCCTGTTTTGGCTATTTCATAATAATCAGGGGATCAATTCATTAAAGTACATGACAGTCCTCAATGTTTAATGACATAATAACACAGGTTCAAATACAAAAGAAAAATCTGACAGAAGTGCAATGAGTAGAAAAGTCCACAATTATAGTGAAAGCTGCCAGTACCCCTATCTTGATAATTGATAGAACAAGTGGACAAAAAATTAATATGGTTATAGAAGATTTGAGCAACAACCTCAACCACCTTGACCTGATTTACATTTTTAAAACACTATCAAACAACCACTTGTTGCCACCACTTCTCTGTCAGTTTGTTGTCTTGTGGTGGCTTGCATGTTGCTGTGATGCTGGAAGCTACACCACCAGTATTTCAAATACCAGCAAGGTCATCCGTGGTGGACATGTTTCAGCAGAGCTTCCAAACTAAGACAGACTAGGAAGAAGGACCTGGTGGTCTGCTTCTATAAAATTGCCATTGAAAACCTTATGGATAGCAACGAAACATTGTCTGACATATTGCCAGAAGGTGAGCCCCTCAGGTTGGAAGGCATTCAGAATGCAACTGGGGATGAGCTGCCTCCTCAAATTAGAGTTGACCGTAATGATATGGATAGTGTATAACTTTCAGGGCCTTCATTTGCTGGTGTGGCATGACTCAAAATGAGAAGAAACAGCTGCAAACATCCATTAATAATCAGAATGTGGAATGTATGAAGTGTGACTCTAGGAACATTGGAAGTTG